GATGTTTTTGCTGGCGCGAAAGGCAAAAGCAAAAACCACCAAAAGGAGTAACGTGCGCGATTTTGGCAAAAAGCAAAATTTGCCAAAAAGGCAAAAATAGCAAATCGCGCCTAAAATGGGCGCGATAAGAATAGCGTAAAATACGGCCTGATGTGTTACGCTACTTGCGAAGATTAGAATGGAGAGTGTGTGATTTTGACTCCTTACAAGAAAGGCACAAGCGCTTTTGAGACGTAGCTAAGATGGAAGGAAACTACATGAAAATCACTACAAGATGGTGCTCATTTGAAGAGAAAAAAATTAATAACCTGGGAATTACAGCATTTCTAAAACAAATTTTCATCCGATTTTTGCTAATTTTGATTTGTACACCAACATCGTGCGCAAGGCCAAACTAAATTTTCCTTTGATGTATCCCCTTTTTGAATTATTAGTATCATGAGGACTAGTTATTGCCAAGCGTAGACTAAATTTGCACCACTTCAGCAGCTCAACAATAACATGTCAGTTTCATAATTTGTGTCATTTGAATTTTTATGTGCTTGTTTTACTTCAACTACATCTCACCAAAATACAACAACCAATGACACTACAATGTCCACAAAGCATATGCACAATTGGGTATTTTAACCCCTATCCAAATTGTTCAATTTGCTCTTCTTTTGCTTGCCCTGGGCAAGTCTTAGTTTGCTCTTTTAATAATTCAGTTGGCAGACAACTTGCCTGATGTGAAAATGAAAAGTCACTTGCCTAGAAGGAAAATCTACTTTTTTCAAGCCCCATATACATCACAACTACTAAGTTGATTATCAACTTGTTTCCAAAAGTTAATTAGGCACCTAGGTTTAAATACCGCCTGTATGTATAACTACATTCTCTACTTAAGTCTTATTTGATTGAAGGAAATAAAATGGCAGAAATTGTTGGCCTAAGGGGATCAACAGTTCTTTTCTCACAAAGATGGGAAGAAAGTGACCAGGACTGTTCAAAGTATTTAGCTCATTATTAAAAGCTTATTCTTTAATACAAAAAAGATTGATAGAAATACTTACAGATATTGTAAAGACAGTTTCTTAGTGACATTTTGAGATGGAATTGAAGTTATCCTGTTGTGGTGCCTACAACAATCACCAAAACAAATAAATAATGCCTGAATTATGAGTCTAATGCATAGATTATAGCAGAGCTCCTTCAGGCTGCCAAGCAGAGCTCCATACCCATATAGGAAAGAAAAGGAAAGCCATGAATTGATTTTCTCATGGTTATCATGGCTATGAGTATTCCTCGTGGGCGCATACGCACAACGACGACTTAAGAGTCGCGCAAGATGGCAGCCATACTCCAATCCATGTTATGGTCAATTGACACCTGTCAAAACAAGGTATCCCCTGACCAGTATCACGTGACCATATCGCAGCTCAAGTTTAGAGCTCATCAAGGTCACATACTTTTTTTTCAGTTGACCGCTGACCAAGTTCTGGTTTTCAATTGGATCATAGCCTTGTATCAGGTTAACTTGTTGGCCGGGTCGTTTGGAAGCCGGTTAACGTTATCCCAGGATTATAAAAGTTAACTGAAGTATAGTTTGTCTTCTATACAAATGTTTTTCACTACTTTTGTTTTGTGTATTTTGAAGACCTTGAGATTATTCAAACTCAAACCAGAAGGCCAAACAACAGAAACAGAAAACCTTACCGTAAAGTTACAAAAATCAAAACAAAATTCTCACTTATCCTGGGTTAGCTTAATCAGGCTTTGAACAACCCGACCCAGGGGCTCCGCTTTTAGCCTTGGTTAAATCTATATTAATCATTATGTTTAGTTATACATGGTTTACATCTTGATTAGTCCAGTGCTCCCGTCATCTATCAAGTTGTATTTGTCCTTGATTCCAGGACATGAAAAGATGATGCGGAAGCTTCATTTCTATTGTGCCAGTGACACTGATTGCAAATAAAGTGTTTAATTCACAAGTTCAGGGACATCGTAATACACATGCATTCAAATTGGAAGAATGTTTGGGATAGTTAGCCAACTTTAGGTGTTCTACAGCACATTTCGTTCTGAATCAAAAGTTTTATCCCTGTTTGCTTGTGGTAAGAGGAGGCAAGTCCTTTCAGTGCGTCCACTAAGTACCATCACTGATGTACACAGCTAAATGATGAGAGTATGATGATCTTATATGAAAACTGAGTCAGTTGCTGAATCAACTGCCTAGCACAAGACTAAAATTTACCCAGCCACTTCTCTCTCACTGAAAAAGACCAACCACCAAAAAAGTACACACTGTTTATGAAAGGGCTTTAGATTTATCATCACAAAAAACAGTTATGTCTGAAACTTAGTTTAGTTTAGTCATGGAGAAATTTTCCAAAAACTGTTGTGAAAACTTTCTTTCCATTGAATGGTGTTGATATTCATGATAAACCAACATCAATCATCAATATCCTCACTAACTCAATCTGACTACCAAGGTCGGGGTGCATGAAATTCCTTGAGCATTTTATGATGGTAAATACACTACTTACAGTGATAATCGAGTCAGGGAGGATGGTAGAGATTGCCATGGTGGGATATCCCTGAGCTTATTCTCGTGAAGAAGCCTGAAAGAACAAGTGGTAAGCAACGTAAAGACTTGTTGTGCTTTTCTCACAGTAATCAAGTTACATTGTATCAATCCTAGCTTAAAAATTTTACTAAAATTGAACAATTACCATAATAGATGATGACAGTTGTCATCCATCTGCACTAATATAGAGCTTTGAGCCTAATAACTTGAAAATTGTATAATACTTGGGGGTTTGTCCAGTTTAGTGTCATTAAGAAACAATAAGCAGGGAACAAAGCCATCTAAATTTATGGCCATTTGACTAATTCATATGTTTTACTGCCTCTTCAACACAAACTAGCAATCAGTGAGAAAATTTAGAGCATAAATTTTGAAATAAAAACTAAATACTTACAGCTCCTGAAGATTTGTAAGTCTCGAAAGTTTTGAAACATCCAAGGTTCTCAGTTCATTGTTACTTAAATCTCTAGAAAAAGGAAAAACAATGTCATATGTGCATGTAATACATTAATCATAAAATTCAATTTACAAACTTGGGTGTTATTACTGATGTTTTACTAACTCAGAGTGGAGGAAACAGTGAGGGGGGGGGGGGTCACTTGTTTGGCGCAGGTGTTAATTTTAATTTGTAAACTTGACATTTGCGAAGCACCCAACCTTTCTTCTCTACTGATACAATAGGGACAAAAGTATTGGGTGACAGGACCAAAGTGAACTATAATGACACTTGTTAATAACCATATTTTCCATTGTCATTTAAGTAATTCTAAAATCTTAAAAAAAAAACATTTTTGTTTTAAAAATAGGATGTTTTTAGCAGGTAAGTGTCACTATGGTAACCTATTGTGTCACAAAAATGATAACAATCTGTTCACCATGATTGGGCAGTTTTAGTACCATGATTGTAGCATGAACTGATGAAAAGTGCTTATTGTGACCAATCAAAATCCAAGTCTTGGAAAGAGCTGGATACTGTTGGCAACCACCTTAAGTAATGCTCTGGCTAAGAGCAATAGCGAGAACAATAGGGCCGCGGCTCCTGGAGCCGTTAGTAGCCGATGGGCAGAAACTTGATAATTAAATTAATCTGAGCTACTTTAATTTACTGGATAAATCACATTAGCGCGAAATTCAAATGGTTTTTATAAAAATTTGGAGCATGCAGAGGCCATTTGCTTGGCTTAAATTAACAGGATATCGTTGTTTTCACATAACATACTTGGCTGCGACTCTACTGTGGGATTCTACAGTGTATTTCTCTCCTTTGCGTCCCTAGTTCATATAAACTGTAGCAACTACTGTTTAAAACTGCCATATCAGTTGATGTCCAGTGACTGCCATTTCACTGCAAGTTATGGTGATATTTTTTCTTTGTGCAATTCTCATTATCCATACACAGCAAACATTCATACAAAGCTTATTTGCCACACAAATTTCGCATGCAAACGGAATTTCTTTGATTAAAGTGGGCAGAGAGGAAAATAACCTTTTCTTTTCTGTGGAATAACTTCTTACTTTTTCAATTTTTCCTGCCTGGCACAGCAAAAACAAAATAATTATTTCGCGGGAACGTGACGTGAATGTACTTACAAAGGAGAGAAATCTTACTTCACATTCCAGTTGGCAACGGATATAAATCTTCTGTCACTCTGCCTAATTTTAGCAGTGTCTGTAGTACAGAGTTCTTTGATTTTGAAAATCTCTCTCCTCAGTTGCAAGCCAAAGGCACTTGATATCAAACAGGCAAATCCACGCACATACCCAGCAGGAACAACAACACAATGAGAGGTCCCTCAAGGAATTACCCCAAAGATCACGATTATTGATCTTCATGAATACAATCTTTAGAATTGTTCTGAAGTCGTGAGTAATTCTAGGCTGTTTTTGTTCTACCGTTCTAATGAAAAATTCATAAAACATGCAAAGAATTGCTCTTCACAAGATGGCTACCATGCTGTGACATATGAGCTCCACGTGTTACCATCTTTGTTTTATAATAGCTCGTGTTGCCCACGTACAAATTTTCCCTGAATTTGCACAACAATAGATTTTGACCGATTGTCAGGGCTTTCAGGGCTGTAATCAGCAAAACTCGTGGTATTTTCAGGTAACTACTGATTTAGACCAATCAGAATGCCGTATTTTAATGACTTAAGCCAATTATCTGTGGTTAAAAAAGAAATTCCGCATATTCCATGGCTGTTAGTGTTATCACTCTTAGCCAGGGCGTTACTTAATGGTACAAAATTGCCATTACCTCCTCAATATTTGAACAGGCAAAAGGTTTAATTTGCATAGAATCACACACCCCCTCTTACATGTATGTAAGACTTCATTTACAACTCTTTCCCTCTTATACTTTTAAGGTAAAGTAGAGATCTGTATATAAAGAACTGCAAATTAAGCTATAGTTCAGAGGTATACCCCAACTATAGAAGTAACAAAATTTTCAACACTTTTCTTTTTTTATCCTGAATGCTTTTCACTTCAAGCTGTGACTTTCTCTACAAGTGTTGGATTGATTTATGGTATTCCACAAACAATACCTTTCAAATGGTGTGTTATATGTTTGGTCTTTGGTTCTATAAGTACCATTTTACATATATAATATTATGATATTTCCCACAGGAGTGAAAGGAACAATGTACAGGGCCAATACAGCAGTCAATAACTGATATAAAATTATTTTTATAACATTTTCCATCATCCCTATACAGAGACATATCAATACACCATGCAAATGAATGTACTGAACTATGTCACAATGGACTAATTAAGGGGGCTTTACAACTCTGACTGACATTATGTTTGTACATGGATTGCCAAATCAAATATTCAGCTCTGCACCTCTCAAAAATGCAAATACAAGGAGGGATTGGGAAGGCTGTGTGCCATGCGCATATGGCAGATAAAGCTATGAAATGGTGCATTTTGGAAGTACTTACTGGGCCTGCAATGCATCCTAGCCACAAAACAGCAAGTAAAATATACACTATTTTGTGAGAAGGACTTTCATTTGTGATATTTTCAGTTTTAGTACTGATGAATAAACATGTGAGAAATCACGATGCCTTTGCTCTAAATCAACGCTATAAAAGTGTTCGCTTTGTTTTCGTCCCAGATCCCTTACTCGAACTCTGCTCGGAAATGAGGTTTTCACTCAATCCATGTGCTTTCTGTTTTCATTGATAGAATCAGCTGACTTGAATATGTTTTGCATGCTATAATTAGCCAAATAATATGCCTCCAAATGCGAAAGTTCCGAAATTGGATGTCCAAGACTCGGAGATTGTTGCCATTTTGCACTATGAACGCTGAGTCCACCACAACAAAAACAATGATGAAGACAAAGCTTCCAAGCCTCCTAGTCTAATTGAGGGATGTTAAGTACAAAAATGGCACAGGGGAAGGTTTAGCACAAAAAATCTTAAATGAAGCCCAGAAAAGGAATATATCCCCTACAAAGATGACTGGATTTGGTTCTGATGGAGCAAATGTCATGAGTGGAGAACGAAAAGGGGTCAATGGGAGGCTGAAGGAACAAAATGGGCACATAGTATCGCTTGTCAAAATGTTTTTATGGCCCATTTATTTACCCTAATGGCCCAAACTTTTTACAAATGGCCCATAACTTCCATTGCGACGGGCCATAGGCTCAATTGCCTGTTTTGCCTTCCCAATCCCTGATTACAAGTAATTAAGCATTATGCAGACAACAGAAATTAATTTGGCAGCACACTGAAAACAAACAAAAGGATATAACACTTGATGATGAGAATGACAAAACAATAATTCTAAAAAAAGAAATGAAAATATTATGTCGCCGCAACACAAACCTAATGCTGACAATACATTTTGTAGCTCAGAAAGTTCAAGAAAATTCTATTTACTTAGTATTAAGACCCTTGCACTAGTAAGAATACTGAGCATTGCCAAACTCATGTCATCAAGCTGACAACACAGTTAAATAAATTAATCTCCTACAAGCAGCTCAAACACAGCTTTTTATGGTTTCTTTTCACTGAGTAAAGTTTACAAACCAACAGAATAGTGATCACAATCACACAATTCACAATTCTTATCTCCTAGGGTTCACTTATCTGGGTGATGCATACTTCTAATCCACAAAATCGATATCACAGTCTCCTTTCTTTATGTCATTCATATCGTAGAAATGCACTTGGTTCTTATCTTAATCGACACCCTTTTTTCTTCTTTGATGATCGGGTCCTGGAGACTTGCAGTTATAGGCAGCTTTAATTTGTTATTGGAATGTAAAGGTCTTAAATTTAAAGTACCTTGCACAATAATATTACAAAAACAAATCTTTAACTTTGCCTTTCATTTAGCATGGCGACATTAAGAATATTGAGTTCTCAATATAAAACAGTGACTACAATATGGACAAAAAAATCAACATCCAGACTAAATGAAATCTCCAAGAAAATCTGTATTTAACACCTGTTAATTACAACAGAGTAAAGGAAAATAAAGCACTTCTCTAATGACAAAACTAGTGAGACAATTTCAGATAGTGCATAGTGCAATTTACGGCTCTGATACAGTAGTCGCACAGGTCCTTAACCATGCCGTTTTCTCCCTTGGTAGTCAACTAGGCCTTTTCCCCTTGCAGAATATGAGCGGGCAAAAACTTGATAGGACGTAATCTTAGCATTGCATAAGTTTCATGTTTGTATTTTCTTTCAAGGCCCAAAAACAACTTACAATTACTGTTTGTCAAGACGGCTTTGAATTTTATTGTGATGTTTTACGCTGAGTTGCAATCATTTTAAATTCAATAATACACAGAAGTGGCAAATATGACAATTTTATTTTTCACTCCAACGTATGTAACCTGATACTTTTGTTTCCCTTGCCCAGCTATGCAACATGATTGTTAGTAAATTATTAATTATTGTGTTAGTAAATTATTGTGTAAGGAGGTTAGCACCTGACCGAACAGCAGCCCCCAAAACCATCCCAATAGTGCACTCTGCACTAAAAATGATACTTTCACAGAATACAACAAAGAAATAAGCTTTTCTTAACACTTAAATCTGGTAAGTACCAATGGACTCTGTGCCACATAAACAACTTCAACAGGAAATCCTGAAGCAATATCTGCATTTATTGTATGGCTGTGTTTCACAAGGACTGGGAACTACCAAATTCACAAATTTGATTGGCTGAAATCGATATTGACCGCGGCCTAGATTTTCCCATCTAGACTGGCATCTAGACCAGTTTCATTTTGCGTTGAAAAAGTAGCAAACTAAAATACAAAAATGTTCACCATTTTCTTTTATTTTCTTCTCAATCACTTATGGAAGTGCAAAACGCCTAATGACAAAAAAAAGTAAAGAGGACAAGCAAATTTCGGCAGGTTTAAGTTAAGCTCATCGCCATTCAAGAGTAAAATGTCAGCACACCAGTTACATTAAACAAATTAAAGTTTTCTTCTTTCCC